GTTTTTCTGTGATAACTGTTGTAAATAGAAAACCCTGGGCAGCAAAATGTCCCTAAATCGTTCTCTMTATGATAACTGTTGTTAATTGGTATTTTGGGTTCATGGGCTATTGACTAGTAGACCATTGTGGCTGTGGGTGTAATTCTTAAATAATCAATATATCAATCAATTACTACTGATAATTTTTGGTTCGGCTTATCTGTTTTTTTCCCTTTTCGTTTGTTTCTTTATTTTCTCGTTTGTTTGTTTGTTTGTTTTTGCTTTTGACAAAGTAGAATACTTGAATAAAATAACAACGCAATAAACATCAAATTAGCAATTTATTAAAACGTCTTATATTCTTCTTCTTATTATTTTTTTCGGTCAATTAAAAAAAATATCTATTTACATTTATTTCCCCTAATAATTTATATAATCTATTCTTCACAAAAGAATAAATAACGATTTGACTTTGTTCGAGTAATTAGCAACTAAAGCACTAAAACATTTTATAGAAGCTTACGCAACACTTCTTTAAGTCATGACTACTTCTATTAAATATTTTCAATAGTTTTTTGGTGTTTCAAATTTTTCTGTTGCTCAGGATTAACCTCGATTTCTGAAGAATATTCATGTGTTCTCGATTGAAAAAAGTCGTGGAATTACTGAAATGTTCTCTCTGTTAAAGTTAAGCATTCTCTGCTTTCGTGCAGTATTAATGAATATATGACCCTTAAATGAGACTAATCCTGAGTAACACGATCTTTAAACAAACACATCGGTATTTACAAATTTATGATCCCTCATATRAATATAGACTTTGTACAGGCTTAGTCTAAACAGCTGGTAAAACTGTTTGAAATTCAACAACAAGAAAGGTTAATTGGGTGGGTTTATTATGAGAAAAAAAAGTTAGCTAGAAGTATCTAAACTCTTGTGGCAAGGGCATAATGTTTTTTTTTTTTTCCATTTTAGACCAGTATCGCCTAGCCTAGCCGTAGCATTTCTTTGTTTAACTGTTGTGCATGAAGAGAYACATAAATATGGATGTAACTCAAACAAATTATTAACCTTATTCGTAAGGCCATTGCTCATTTCCTATCTATATAGAGTATCCTTTTAGAGAAAATGGTATCCTTCCTTTGTTTAACGGTTGTGCATGAAGAGGCACATGAATATAGATGCGACTCAAACAATGAATAATTAAGCACTGAATCAGTCACATCAACATATCTCGTCATCCGGAKCGACTTGAAATGGTAAGTCTATTTCTTGTCATCCAAATTGAGTTGGAACGTGTCCATCCCTTTTTAAACAACAGTTGAGTCTGCTTTTACTTTTTTGATGTTCCYTKTCAAATTCTGCCTTTAACATCACTATTGATGTGGGCCCTCTGGTTGCATTRCGCGATGCCCGTTGCTTGTGAAGCCAGGCGGGGGATCTGTCTGCAGTCAAATGTATACATTTGTATATTTATATAGTATTAACTATTGAATAAGTATAATACATGAATGGATAAATAAACACTTSGACGAAATAACATGCTTTCAGTTTGACCCCGTTGAGCT